GAGAGTTAGAAACATTGATGAGAAAGAAACGTCGATCAGTTGCCTCCTGCACCTCCCCCACTGGGGACGCGCCCGCAACCCAGGTACATGCCCCTGACCAGAATCGACCCCGGGACTCCTCAGTCCGCAGGCCGACGCTCCATCCACTGAGCCAAACCGGTTTCGGCCTGTTGAGCATTTTTAACATCATTACTCTGAACTCTGTTTCAGATAAATTTCTTATCTCTGCTTTATCTCCTCTTCTAGAGAATTCACTAGTTCTTTCATTTGGAGGTTGTTTCTTTGTCTCCTCATTTTGGCTGCCTGTTTGGGTTTGTGACTCTGTATTAGGTAGATCCTCTACACCTCTCAATCTCTAGTGCAGGACAGTGTCAAACGCTGCTCCTGGCTAATTAGATCAGGCAAAAACTTAAAGCCTCCAGAGACCACCTCTGTCCACAGACTGATAGGATTCCAATTTGAAATTGCTCCTAGGCAATCTTCCTCATGTGTGGTGAGAGTTTTTTTTAATAGGTGGGGCACTTGCTTCTGGGTGGAGGCTAATTGTTATTTTTAGTCTCTTAAGTGGCCTCAGGGCAAGGTGTTTTCCAAAAGGGTATGTCAACTGTCTTACCCCCCAGGCAAGGCAAATGTCTGTGTGGGTTAGATGTTCTCCCCTGCATGAGGGAATGACTCAGCATAGGAAACTGGGGGTGTCTGCCTTCTGAGTTCTAACCTCCATGTCCCCAGTCCTGGCTTCTGCTTGCACAGCTCCAGTCCACTCTGCCCTTCCTCTGCTGGAGTACAAGGTGGGTGGTTCCACAGGGAATTTTGTGTCCTGGTCCTTTAAGAGGATGCCTGAATTTCCAGCCGTCACTCCCTGGCAGACAGCAGCCTGCTGCTTTTCACAGCCAGATGTTAGGTGGGTACCCTTCTCAGTTGTGGTGCTATCTTCTGGGGGGCCCAGCTTGGGGATTAGATCCCAGAGTTCTCAGTGGCTACCCATCACAGCTGAGATATCTCTCCGGGACTTCAGTTGCCATCTGTGGGTGCCAGTCCGGCCAGCCCTTTCGCACCTCCGCCCCTCCTACCAGTCTCTATGCCGTCTCCACTTTTGGTCCTCCAGGATTGGGGTTCTCTCCTGCCAGTTTTCTGTTGATTATTCAGGAATTTTTTCTGTATTTTAGTTGTAATTACAGTTTGTTTCTGGGAGCATGTCCGTGCAGCATCCACTTACTCTGCCACTATTTTTAATCTCCTGGTTCATATATTGACTCTCAACTGAGCCACATTGGCCAGATGGGAGGGTATTTTTATTCTATTGGAAATGTTGAATTGTCCCACTTATTATTTAGTCTTCTCTATGTACTGAGTAACTTTCTTCAAAATGCAGTTTTATTTATGATGAAAAAACATTAAAATTTATTAATTTGATAACCATAAAGAAATTGATTTTTCCATTGAAATTTGTTTTAAGATAATTGTAGACTTCTGTGCAGCTGTTAGAAATAATATAGAAAGATTCCCTCCTTGACATTGCTTCATTTCCCCTGGGGGCTGTACTTTGCAAAAGTAGTCATTGTCACAAGCAGGGTATTGGCATTGATACAATGACCAATCTCATTCATATCTCCTGTTTCACTCGAACTCACTGTGTGTGAAGAAATAGGTTTTGTTCTTAGGAAACTACTGAAGTACTAACTTTAATTAGATTTGTGACCTCTGAAAACCATTTAACCTCTTGTGCCTCAGATTTCTCGATAAGTCAGTTGGTTTGATTGGGTGATCTTTAGAATCCTTTTTGGGTCAAAACATTCTATAATTTTTCTCTTTATGTTTAGGAAGAAAAGGCTTCTCTTTTACATCGTACTCAGGAAGAAAGAAGAAAAAGAGAGGTAAAAACAGTTTTTTAATCATCTATAAATAAGTATTTTTTTAATTCTGGGTTTTACTGTTTTATATATATGTATTTCAGTGTGATGGAATATATGTATATTTACGTGTATATATTGAGCTTTAGAAACATTTCTGGATTTGTTGGATTTTACAGTAAAGCATTTATCCTGACACCAATGTAGGAAAGATGGACAAAAGGAGTCTGTGGA